GCGTCACAATTCGCTGTGCAGAGTTGCGTCGTTTGGGCACGCCAAAAACCTATGATTGTGGGTTCGAATCCCTGGTTCAGCCTGATTATGTTTCTAGGTTTGTCAGCACCATACCCGTGCTCGTGGGTTTCAACCAAAGTGGTAAATGTCAAAGAAGTGCCTCACTTCGGGCTTTCCTCCCACATTAAGCTGACACGCTGTGATATAACTCGAATACTGTTAAAAGCGGTGTTAAACACAACTCACTCACTCACTCACTCACTGAATGCCCCCCAAAACTTTCCAACCAGCATTATGTATCATGACCCATGTTGACTTGACTAAATAAAGTAACAGCTGAACTCCATGATATCTATCTGTGTTCATCTTGGATCAGGGGCGGTCAGGAAAACTTGCAGTCACGCAGACGACCCAGGTTCGATTCCCGACATGGGTACAATGTGTGAAGCCCATTTCTGGTGTCCCCTGCCGTGATATTGCTGGAATATTGTTAAAACCATACTCACTCACTCATTTTGATCCGTAATGATGTCTACTTCTGAGGGCACAGGTGGCCCAGTGGCCTCAGATGCTACAATTCACTATGCAGAGTTGCCTCCCCTGGTGTGTGCCAGGATCATTTGATCGTTGTTTCAAATTCCAGATTGACAGGTTTCAGCCAGCAAAATACTATTTGGTTTCTTCAAATCAGTAAATGTCTAAGATCTGCATCACATTGGGCATCCTTCCCACCTCAAGCATCATCTTATTCTTCCTGGAAAAATCCCATTCTTTTTAATGTTGTTAATTCATCTCTTATCCTTGCTTCACACAGTCTTATCAATCTTTTATTCTTGATCAATGAACTGCTCTCTTTTCTCCCCCATCAATACTTTAAATCATGAAACTAATGCAAGCATGAAATTAACGCAAGACTGTGAGTGTTCCGCTTGCGTTAAATAAATTGTTGCATTGTTATCTAGGTAAGGGACAATTAAGCAGGTTCACTGCATGTATCGGAAACAATGACATATATCTCATAAAGCATCCATTAAACAATATATATAGATTTTACTACAACAGTGGCTGTCAGATACTATTTATCTTATAACAAGTTGTAAGATAAATGGTATATGAATGGTATACGCCTGTCATATACTATTATCTTACAGCTTGTAAGACAAATGGTATCCGACAGACACAATTGTTTAATCTGTTTCTTACACAGACTAAAATCGCACCAGCTTCGCATCGAATCAAGACATATTTTTTCTGTTCTTATGATTACAGTGGCGCATTAATACATGGGTGACATCATTCAGCTGACTGCTTACTACTCCTACCTATTGTGACCCTCCACAAAACAGTTTCCACCATATCTGTGGAATATCAGGCGAAGATGATAATGCAAATGAAATAAGATCAAAGAACATTTATTAACACTCTAAAACTATCAAGTTACGATACTGACGTAGGTGAAATCGACTGAAGTACAAGCAACTTATCAATTAATTACAATCAGGAAGTCGTCTTTCATAACCTGACCTGAGGTCATCACCATGGAGTAGCCAATCACAGACCTGGAAAATCGATCTTACACATGTTATCTCAAATTGGTTTCTCACCCACAAATGTGTAAGAAAAATACTTACTCTTAGCGAGGTCCTTATGCAAAAACAAAAACCCTCGAATAAGACCCTTGAGATGGTCTGACCAAACCAAGGCGACCCACCCCAGACCAGACCTTGACAATCATCAGGATGCTTTCTATTTTCATCTAGGCATCTGCATTATTAACTTACATTTCAGATGAAAGATCGACTATCTATAAAACATCTAATAATCAGACATATTCTTCGTCACTGAGAAAAAACCTCAAGCCATAAAACTCACACACCCTCAATGGAAAATCTTAATTGGATATCCACTAATCCAATAAGGACTTTTGATCATACAGAATCCAATTACTGGATTTTGTAAACCAATGTCGTCATGAATTTATTACCGTTTGTCAATTCTGTAAATTTATCTTGCCATCCTGGGTTTCCTTCCTGCCATCGAAGGTCGATTGATAACTTCTGAGCCTCACATAGAAAGAATTGTGTAATAGTGAAATCTTTTCTTGTGGACTTTACATGATATCATAGAGGAAATACACAAAAATTTGACTCAAATCAGAAAATCTTTACGACGTGACAATTCAATAAAATAACCAAGGGTCTGTGACCATTGTAAAATGAACAAACTTGAGGAACATACAGTGATCAAGTACTTTAAGCATATTATTTGGTTCACTGACCTGTTTGAAGACATAAGTATTATAGACAAAAAGGAAATCCCAACATGACTATTGGCTAAAAATAGATCCTGATACGAATATGTCTTAACTCTCAAACATGATGCAGTGGAAAACTACAAAAAAATAGCCTGTGTTCTTTGTAATTGGATTATCATTAACTACAAAGTAACATACGTTACTGTCTTGAAGTAATCTTTAAAAGATTGAGCTGAGAAACATTCTCTGTTTGAAATGGCAAAACCACTATGGCCTTGGGCAACAAATGCTTATCTGCTTTGCACCATTGATTTAGGCTTGCAGCAGCTAATTCCCATTCAGAAAGTGTTCTGACAAATATTCAGTGTGCAAATGTGGGTGCGTTTTTATAAATCAATTCATTTTACTAAAACACTGAATTTTACACATCCCTGGTGAATATGCAGCTGTATCCTGCAGTTTCTAAAGCAGTCAAAAACATGTCACAAGAGGCCCTTTTCAGAAGCTGAAATCATAAACAGTTTCAACCATTTCAAATTTCCAACAACTTTCTGACTTCAAAAGACTTATAAGGTGAATACTGTGTTTTGCCAAAAGTGACAACTAAAATCACCAATCGTTAATATTGATTAATTACTTTCATGTGAGAATGCACATGACTTTTTTCATCAGGATATCTTCAAAAAATGAACTCATTGAATTCTAAACAACACAATGCTCTGGGTTTTTAGGCATACTTCAGAAGGAAGGAAAACTCAATTTAATCCTTATTCCAATCAGGACAAAACATGACCTAGAAAGAAAAATATGTTCAATTCTGATAGAATATTCCTTGTTTTGTTGAAAGAGAATTCAGGAAGCCATCTCTATGAGGATAATTGCGTAAAATCAATGACATCTTCGAATCAGCTAGGTCTACATGGGGAAACATGGAGCCATTACAATGTACCACAACATCAAGCATGGAAAATCTATGGGCAGTATAAAACCATTCTAAGATGCCCTGGGGGCAGTGGTATAAACACAAAATAACCATTTTTGGCATAATGGAACATTCAGTTTCTATGGTAACACCGTGGCAATCACCTACATGGTTTAAGATCAACATATTACCTTGTTGTAAGACTTGAATATTGATTTGCATCAGCATTTGATAGAACACTGCCGCAAGAAAATAACAAGTTATTGACAAGAAGTTTGGTTTGTCAACAACTCATGGCTTACCATCCATGTCAACATACCATTTTGGACTGATTGCCATGAGCGATGGCTGTTGTAGAGTTGAACACATGGTTGACCTTCTAGTGCCATATATCCTGTCACATATAGAAGATGAAGGGTTAATGGTCGACCTTCTAGTGCCATATATCCTGTCACATATAGAAGATGAAGGGTTAATGGTCGACCTTCTAGTGCCATATATCCTGTCACATATAGAAGATGAAGGGTTAATGGTCGACCTTCTAGTGCCATATATCCTGTCACATATAGAAGATGAAGGGTTAATGGTCGACCTTCTAGTGCCATATATCCTGTCACATATAGAAGATGAAGGGTTAATGGTTAACTCGTCCAATATGCAATACTTCAAGTTTACACCAGACAAGCCAATGTACACCAAGCCAGTCAATATGCACCAGGCCTGTTAATATACACCAAACTCCAATACCTACCAGGCCCGTCAATATACATCAAACTCCAATACCTACCAGGCCTGTCAATATACATCAAACTCCAATACATACCAGGCCTGTCAATATACATCAAACTCCAATACATACCAGGCCTGTCAATATACATCAAACTCCAGTACCTACCAGGCCTGTCAATATACATCAAACTCCAATACATACCAGGCCTGTCAATATACACGAAGCCAGTCAATATACACCAAACTCCAATACCTACCAGGCCTGCCAATATACATCAAACTCCAATATATACCAGGCCTGTCAATATACACCAGGCCAGTAAAGTACACCAGGCCTGTCAATATACACCAAACTCAAACACATTCCAGGCCTGTCAATATACATCAAACTCCAATACATACCAGGCCTGTCAATATACACCAAACTCCAATACATACCAGGCCAGTCAATATACACCAAACTCCAATACACATCAGGCCTGTGAATATACATGAATCCAGGCAATATCCAATACACATTAGCCCATTCAGTACACACCAGGTCAGTCAATACACATCAGACCATTCAATACACACACCTCCAATGCACATCACATTTCCAATAAACGTCAGACCTCCTAAACACATCAGACTTCCAATGCACATTTGTCCATGCCATTACAGATTAACTATAGTTGTATGAAAGAATCGAATGTTCTTAACTTCTTTTGAGTGGTCCATCATAGCTTCACTTTCGAGTAAAACATTACATGTGGAAAAAGTACATAAATTCATCAACAAAATCTACATATAACAATTTTTTAAAAACCCATTCAGCCCAGATACAAAATCAATGGTAAGACTTAAAAGTAAAGACTGTGACAATCAAAGTTGATCGCAAAATCCATGTATTGATTGCCTCGTTGAGAAGACTTATCCAGCTCACTTGACAAAGTCAAATGAGAACAAGAAAATAAATACGTGCAATTACTACACTTTTCTATCTAATTAACACTGAAGGAGTACTGCTAGGGGTGAAATGTACAAGATATTGACCACCTCTTAGCATAATGTTACATAATACATAGCAGGGAATTATGAGCAATAACGACCTACCTGGTTTGATACAATCTCTTCACACTGTGTCCGCTGTCTGGAACTCTCACATTGTTCGCCATTGTTTGTCCGTGATTGTGACATTGTGGATTCCACTTGTGACTTCCCAGCAACGATAGTTACACTGCATCCATTGGTGATTCCTCCTGCAATTTTCATGGTTTTACCAAAATGACATCAGCTGCTGAACTCGGAACCAGTGTGGATCCAAAATACTTCCCTCTTTGAGAAACGTGGATTCTATCACGTTTGCGGTTGATCTCATACGTCTTAGCGTTAACATGTAAATGAAAAATCCCAAACTCATCAGTTTATTACAGAACCTGGAGACAATAATCCTATGGAACGATCATTTCACAAAAGCTTGTATGGCTAGACATGGTTCCTGCCATGCACTCAAGCCAGTCACTCCAACAGATCTCCTGGAATTTACTTGGTTTCCAAGCAACACAGAAAATTCATGCGACATGAAGTGAATGTGAAATTTGTCAGCGAAACAGATGCATGCCTGTGATGAAAGAATCAGGGACATGTGCAATCAGTTACACATATGATAAGGTAAATGGTGTCTATCACCTCCTTGGATGTTCCGACACACGCTGGTCTCATGGATCAATACAGACAGTAGATGGGGGTGGGAGTGGATAGATGTTGTGTCTATCACCTGGGATGCTCCAACACAAGCTGGTCTCATGCATGGATCAATGCAGACAGTAGATGGGGTAGGAGTGGGTGGGGTGGGTGTGTCTATCACTTCCTGGGATGTTCCAACACATGCTGGTCTCATAGATCAATACAGACAGTAGATGGGGTAGGAGTGGGTGGGGTGGGTGTGTCTATCACTTCCTGGGATGTTCCAACACATGCTGGTCTCATAGATCAATACAGACAGAAGATGGGGGTGGGAGTAGGGGCATAGGGGGGTGGGTGTCTATCATGTGCGATGCTCAAACACACGCTGGTCTCTTGCATGGATCAATACAGACAGTAGATGGGGGTGGGTAGGTGTTGTGTCTATCACCTGGGATGCTCCAACACATGCTGGTCTCATCGATCAATACAGACAGTAGATGGGGTGGGGGTGGGTAGGTGTTGTGTCTATCACCTGGGATGTTCCAACACATGCTGGTCTCATGGATCAATACAGACAGTAGATGGGGTGGGGTGGGTAGGTGTTGTGTCTATCACCTGGGATGTTCCAACACATGCTGGTCTCATGGATCAATACAGACAGTAGATGGGGTGGGGGTGGGTAGGTGTTGTGTCTATCACCTGGGATGTTCCAACACATGCTGGTCTCTTGCATGGATCAATACAGACAGTAGATGGGGGTGGGTAGGTGTTGTGTCTATCACCTGGGATGCTCCAACACATGCTGGTCTCTTGGATCAATACAGACAGTAGATGGGGTGGGGGTGGGCAGGTGTTGTGTCTATCACCTGGGATGTTCCAACACATGCTGCTCTCATGGATCAATACAGACATTAGATGGGGTGGGGGTGGGCAGGTGTTGTGTCTATCACCTGGGATGTTCCAACACCTGCTGGTCTCATGGATCAATACAGACATTAGATGGGGTGGGGTGGGTAGGTGTTGTGTCTATCACCTGGGATGTTCCAACACATGCTGGTCTCATAGATCAATACAGACAGTAGATGGGGTGGAGGTGGGTAGATGTTGTGTCTATCACCTGGGATGTTCCAACACATGCTGGTCTCATGCATGGATCAATACAGACAGTAGATGGGGTGGGGGTGGGCAGGTGTTGTGTCTATCACCTGGGATGTTCCAACACACGCTGGTCTCATGGATCAATACAGACAGTAGATGGGGTGGGGGTGGGTAGGTGTTGTGTCTATCACCTGGGATGTTCCAACACATGCTGGTCTCATGCATGGATCAATACAGACAGTAGATGGGGTGGGGGTGGGTAGGTGTTGTGTCTATCACCTGGGATGCTCCAACACATGCTGGTCTCATGGATCAATACAGACAGTAGATGGGGTGGGGGTGGGTAGGTGTTGTATCTATCACCTGGGATGTTCCAACACATGCTGGTCTCATGGATCAATACAGACAGTAGATGGGGTGGGTAGATGTTGTGTCTATCACCTGGGATGTTCCAACACATGCTGGTCTCATGGATCAATACAGACAGTAGATGGGGTGGGGGTGGGTAGGTGTTGTATCTATCACCTGGGATGTTCCAACACATGCTGGTCTCATGGATCAATACAGACAGTAGATGGGGGTGGGTAGGTGTTGTGTCTATCACCTGGGATGTTCCAACACATGCTGGTCTCATGCATGGATCAATACAGACATTAGATGGGGTGAGGGTGGGTAGGTGTTGTGTCTATCACCTGGGATGCTCCAACACAGGCTGGTCTCATGGATCAATACAGACAGTAGATGGGGTGGGGTGGGTAGGTGTTGTTTCTATCACCTGGGATGCTCCAACACATGCTGGTCTCATGGATCAATACAGACAGTAGATGGGGTGAGGGTGGGTAGGTGTTGTGTCTATCACCTGGGATGCTCCAACACATGCTGGTCTCATGGATCAATACAGACATTAGATGGGGTGGGGGTGGGTAGGTGTTGTGTCTATCACCTGGGATGTTCCAACACATGCTGGTCTCATGGATCAATACAGACATTAGATGGGGTGGGGGTGGGTAGGTGTTGTGTCTATCACCTGGGATGTTCCAACACACCCTGGTCTCATGGATCAATACAGACATTAGATGGGGTGGGGGTGGGTAGGTGTTGTGTCTATCACCTGGGATGTTCCAACACATGCTGGTCTCATGGATCAATACAGACATTAGATGGGGTGGGGGTGGGTAGGTGTTGTGTCTATCACCTGGGATGTTCCAACACATGCTGGTCTCATGGATCAATACAGACATTAGATGGGGTGGGGGTGGGTAGGTGTTGTGTCTATCACCTGGGATGTTCCAACACATGCTGGTCTCATGCATGGATCAATACAGACAGTAGATGGGGTGGGGGTGGGTAGGTGTTGTGTCTATCACCTGGGATGTTCCAACACATGCTGGTCTCATGGATCAATACAGACAGTAGATGGGGTGGGTAGATGTTGTGTCTATCACCTGGGATGCTCCAACACATGCTGGTCTCATGGATCAATACAGACAGTAGATGGGGTGGGGTGGGTAGGTGTTGTGTCTATCACCTGGGATGTTCCAACACATGCTGGTCTCATGGATCAATACAGACATTAGATGGGGTGGGTGTGGGTAGATGTTGTGTCTATCACCTGGGATGTTCCAACACACGCTGGTCTCATGCATGGATCAACACAGACAGTAGATGGGGTGGGGGTGGGTAGATGTTGTGTCTATCACCTGGGATGTTCCAACACACCCTGGTCTCATGGATCAATACAGACAGTAGATGGGGTGGGGTGGTAGGTGTTGTGTCTATCACCTGGGATGTTCCAACACACGCTGGTCTCATGCATGGATCAATACAGACAGTAGATGGGGTGGGGGTGGGTAGATGTTGTGTCTATCACCTGGGATGTTCCAACACACCCTGGTCTCATGGATCAATACAAACAGTAGATGGGGTGGGGGTGGGTAGGTGTTGTGTCTATCACCTGGGATGTTCCAACACATGCTGGTCTCATGGATCAATACAGACAGTAGATGGGGTGGGGTGGGTAGGTGTTGTGTCTATCACCTGGGATGTTCCAACACCGGCTGGTCTCATGGATCAATACAGACAGTAGATGGGGTGGGGGTGGGCAGGTGTTGTGTCTATCACCTGGGATGTTCCAACACATGCTGGTCTCATGGATCAATACAGACAGTAGATGGGGTGGGGGTTGGCAGGTGTTGTGTCTATCACCTGGGATGTTCCAACACAGGCTGGTCTCATGGATCAATACAGACATTAGATGGGGTGATGTTGTGTCTATCACCTGGGATGTTCCAACACACCCTGGTCTCATGGATCAATACAAACAGTAGATGGGGTGGGGTGGTAGGTGTTGTGTCTATCACCTGGGATGTTCCAACACATGCTGGTCTCATGGATCAATACAGACAGTAGATGGGGTGGGGGTGGGCAGGTGTTGTGTCTATCACCTGGGATGTTCCAACACATGCTGGTCTCATGGATCAATACAGACAGTAGATGGGGGTGGGTAGGTGTTGTGTCTATCACCTGGGATGTTCCAACACATGCTGGTCTCATGGATCAATACAGACAGTAGATGGGGTGGGTAGATGTTGTGTCTATCACCTGGGATGCTCCAACACATGCTGGTCTCATGGATCAATACAGCCAGTAGATGGTGTGGGGGTGGGTAGGTGTTGTGTCTATCACCTGGGATGCTCCAACACATGCTGGTCTCATGGATCAATACAGACAGTAGATGGGGTGGGGGTGGGTAGGTGTTGTGTCTATCACCTGGGATGTTCCAACACATGCTGGTCTCATGGATCAATACAGACAGTAGATGGGGTGGGGGTGGGTAGGTGTTGTGTCTATCACCTGGGATGCTTTAACACACGCTGGTCTCATGGATCAATACAGACAATAGATGGGGTGGGGGTGGGTAGGTGTTGTGTCTATCACCTGGGATGCTTTAACACACGCTGGTCTCATGGATCAATACAGACAATAGATGGGGTGGGGGTGGGTAGGTGTTGTGTCTATCACCTGGGATGCTTTAACACACGCTGGTCTCATGGATCAATACAGACAGTAGATGGGGTGGGGGTTGGCAGGTGTTGTGTCTATCACCTGGGATGCTCCAACACATGCTGGTCTCATGGATCAATACAGACAGTAGATGGGGGTGGGTAGGTGTTGTGTCTATCACCTGGGATGTTCCAACACATGCTGGTCTCATGGATCAATACAGACAGTAGATGGGGTGGGGGTTGGCAGGTGTTGTGTCTATCACCTGGGATGTTCCAACACCTGCTGGTCTCATGGATCAATACAGACATTAGATGGGGTGGTGTTGTGTCTATCACCTGGGATGTTCCAACACATGCTGGTCTCATGGATCAATACAGACAGTAGATGGGGTGGGGGTGGGCAGGTGTTGTGTCTATCACCTGGGATGTTCCAACACACCCTGGTCTCATGGATCAATACAGACAGTAGATGGGGGTGGGTAGGTGTTGTGTCTATCACCTGGGATGTTCCAACACATGCTGGTCTCATGGATCAATACAGACAGTAGATGGGGTGGGTAGATGTTGTGTCTATCACCTGGGATGTTCCAACACATGCTGGTCTCATGGATCAATACAGACAGTAGATGGGGTGGGGGTGGGTAGGTGTTGTGTCTATCACCTGGGATGCTCCAACACAAGCTGGTCTCATGGATCAATACAGACAGTAGATGGGGTGGGGGTGGGCAGGTGTTGTGTCTATCACCTGGGATGTTCCAACACAAGCTGGTCTCATGGATCAATACAGACAGTAGATGGGGTGGAGGTGGGTAGGTGTTGTGTCTATCACCTGGGATGTTCCAACACATGCTGGTCTCATGGATCAATACAG